TTAAACCTGTAAGCCATCCTGCATATCTTTAGTATGACTTATTTTTGTTTCAGGAAGAAAGTTTAGGAGAGATCTGCTTCTCCCTCTGCTATGTTCCAACAACCAGCAAGCTCAGCGTCGTAATCCTGGAGGCCAAAGACCTGAAGAGCATGGACATAGGAGGAAGCTCAGGTAAGACTAAAAAAGCTGGTAATCCCATAACAATGTATGATTAGTCAGCTAAAGCTCTGTTTTTGGATTTTAGAAGAACACTTTATGGAGCATGTTTAAACAGCAGCACTTAAAGCACTTGAACAGCAATTTACAGAGTTAAGAAAATCAATTTCAAAACCAAGTCAATTTCTGTCTTAGCAATCCACCTAGTCCATTCATGAAATCTGAAGACATTTCTAATTCCAGAAACACTTTGATTTTCTTGTATTTGGTTTTGTTTGTAGATCCATATGTGAAAGTACAGCTGGCTTTGGACAAGAGGAAGTGGCAGAAAAGAATGACATCCGTTAAAAAGAAAACACTGAACCCCTATTTCAACGAGTCTTTTACATTTGATGTGTCATTGGATCAAATAGAGGTGAGAATTCTACAATTCATCCATCCAGTCATCTTAGTGGAGATGATAATATAGATTAGGGCAGCGCGGAATCTCCAGGTTGTTATATGGAATAAAGCTAATCCATGCTTAACACAGGAGAGCCACCTCTTCAAGACAATACTCAGCTGTGCACCTACTATGATTAGAGACACCATTGAGGATTTAAAAGTTTATATTATAATAAGAGAAGATGCAATGATAAAAAGAGAGGAAGGAAAGAAGCTTTTTTCATCAAACAAGAAGAAACACCTTCAATATGTTTTATAGCTTTTAAAAACATACGTTCAGGGATGATGCCCAGTCAGTTTGTTGTAACGGTGGCCTTAGCAGTCCTGAGCAATCAGTGGAGAATATGAGCTCCCAGTTCTGTGGTAAATAGAACTTGTTGACGTGGCAGAATACAAGCAAAAACATGACTGGAACTCAGCAAAGATAAATCAGTTCAATTTTATTTATGCAGCACCATATAGAACTCATGTAATCTGAAGGCGCTTTGCAGAGAAAATTCAACTAAATCATCCTGTCAGATTGGTAATCCAGCTAATTGCATCAAGTGAGTTCACTGACTTTACAGGATTCACTCCTCCTGGAGGAGCATTTGGCGACAGCAGACATTTGGTTGCATTGTGTCAATGACTCTGCAGCAATACCTCACACTGAGCATGCATGCAGTGACACTGCAGAGAAAAAATACCTATTTAACAGGAAGAAACCTCCAACAGAACTGGGCTCGTTGTGAGCGGCCTTCTGCTAAGACTGACTGGGAGTTGAAAGGAAGGATCAACTCAAGGAAAGTAATGATTAAACTACAGAGCTAATCATAGTAGTTTATGAGAAATCCTTTACCTGATCTGGCCTTCATACACTGGACAAAATCAGAAGAAAGTACGGATCATTGCTGCTGAGCCTTTATTGGCCAACTGTACTTTATATGGCTGCCCTGGGGCACACTGACCACAGGGAGGCTGCCATACACAGACCCAGTCTGATCCTCGTTAATGCAGGTGAAGTGTTTTTCTGGGCTTCAAACTGTGCAGAGTCACACCAAACATTTTAATTGTACTGTTGCACTCAGCAACAGCGGTGTAAAACCATCCAAGCAGACCAACAAACTCAGACAGCTTCCTCCTTCCAAATCCATCACTTTTCAACAGGTGAAAAAAAAATCTATTTAAAACCCTTTTCCTATCGCGATAGAAAACTGATAAAAAAGAAAACTACTAAATCTTTTAATATTTTTACATGAGAAAAATGGCTGCCGGATACGGGTGTACCATTTCATAACTCATTTCAAGTTTTGTGTTACACACTACCATCCGCAATTGTATCAATATTCACTTATCAGGATTATAACTGTAAAGATAGTGGCCAAAGGCAGTGTCAGTATTGAAGCAGCAATACATCCCATGTGATTTTTCCTCCCTGATGGTGTTGTGTTATTTTTGTCCACTGTGCTCAGAGGGCGAACCTGGTGATCTCTGTGTGGGACCATGATGCCATTAGCAGGAATGATCCCATGGGAAAGGTTTTCCTCGGCTGCGATTCCACAGGAAATCAACTGAGGCACTGGGCTGACATGCTGTCCAACCCCCGTCGTCCGGTTGCTCAGTGGCACAGCCTGCTGTCAGCTGAGCAGGTTAACTCCACCCTTTCGCTGAAAAAAAAATTCCCAATCCCCAGCAAATTTATAGAAAATAAACTGAAAAAAGGTCATTAGAAGAACATTTTATGATATAGTTGTGAAATTATTCATTTTCAACTATAATAACTTATGAATTGTATTTAGAGAACAAGCTTTCACGGCTAAACGGTGGTGCAGATTGTAGCACTGTTTCCCTGTGCAAGAAAGTTCTGGGTTTGATTCCTGGGTTTGATTTCTGCATGGAGTTTGCATGTTCTCTCTGTGCATGTGTGAGTTCTCTCTTGGTACTCCGGCTTCCTTCCCCAGTCCAAAATTGATTGGCTCCTCTAAATTGTCCCTAGATGTGTGACTGGCTACCTGTCCAAGGTGTATCCCCTGATGAGGACTAAGTGGGAGAAGATGGATTGATGTTTAGTTAAATTATATGAGCAAAAAATTTTTGCATCACCAGATTTTGTACTTGTGAAAATACCCTGTATTATATCTACAATTAATTTAACATACTACATATCATTTTAACCAGTTTTACACTATAAAGATACAAGGACCAAGATACAACAGCCTGTATTTTGTTGTGATTTTATGTGACAGACCAACAAAAGGGGTTATGAAGTACAAACATAATGCATGGATAAGATTTGTTTGTTTGTAGATTTTTAACAATTTATCCAAAAAGAGCTTAATGCATGTGTACAGTGTTCTTTGTAGAACGACTTCTTAATTTTTTGGAGTATGTCTCTACTAGCTTTGCTCATCTAAAAACAAAAATCTGGGCTTATTCTTCTTTGCAAAATAACTCAAACTTATTTTAAGTAAGTTAGTAGGGTTGGGAATGCCTATGAATCATGGCCGGATTGTAACAGGATATTTCTGTAATTATTTTCTAACCTCTTGTTTAAACCATTTTTGTTGCTTGAGCTGCAGTGTAAAGGGACATTATTATCCTGGAGGGTTAACCTTTCACTAAACTTTTAAATGGTTTGCAGCTCTTAACAGGTTTACACAAGGCTAGCACTGTATATAGCCCCATGCATACCTTATGTATGTACCTCCAGCTTATGTGCTGATATTTATATTTCTTTCCCAATGAAGGAAGTCTTAACATCTATCATCTTTGGAATCGTTTCCCTCTTCCTTTAACCCTGCTGACTGACTTTAATTCTGGATGGACAAAGCTTTGGTTAAAATGTGTTTAACTTTTAGCTCTATCAAGCCCTAACACCAGATTATGTTGGCAGCCACCTTAACGACACCACTATGGTTAGTCTCATCTTGGGGGGTGACAGGACAGAATATATAGATAAGGTAAACAGGATGGTGGTTTGATATGATAATGATAACTTGGGCATCAAACAAAACTACCAAAGAGAAGATAACTGACTTCAGGAGGAGGACGTCTGGCCTGGACTTCATTACCGGTGTAGAAAGGAAGATGTCCAATGGAGATCGAACTCCACAAAGAGGACCCAGCAACATCACCATTACACTAAAAATGCTTTGAAGACTTATCCCTGAGATGAGAGAAAAATATTTATTATCCTAAACTGCTTCATTTTTAAACAGAATATATTGAGATTCAACACAAGTTTAACCAGGATTACTTCTAAAAGTAAATTTAATCTGATTATCCAATCTTATCAATAATGTAATAAATTTGTAAGTTAATAATGGTGTAACTAACAACTACTTTCTACCCAAACCTGTGTAACTATAGCCTTCCGCCCTAACCCCTAAATCCCTCAATCACTATTAAAGAGCGTGGATTATATAGTGGACTTCGTGTGAGTTTTTCAGATTGAACTTACCGTTCGGAAAGATGATCACTGCTTTTTGCTTCGCTGGTCAAGTAACTCCTCCTCCCCCGCGTGGTGCCTGTGCCAGCTTTGTTAATAGTCCCTGCTCTCTGGTAGTGACAGCCTATGGCGACAGCGGGTTGCTGTGACAGCAAATCCCAAAATGCTTTGCAAGGAGAGCTCTTCATGCAAAACATTCTTGGATATATTTGCCTCTTTTGAGGTCTTTCTTTTATTTTCTTACACTTCGTAGAGACTTGCGTAGAAAAAGATAGCTAACTGGACCACCATGTAGGACGGCCTTACGTAAACATATCACCAGAATGACATTTAGGAGGACCACTTACGTAGATGATCCACCCAGAAATAAAGGATCATCCTCATTACCTTTAATATTCACTTTTATATTATGGATGTGGAAATCTGAGAATTACGATTTTAACTAGTATCCACTGTTGTGATTTTAAACACAATAAAAAAGAAGTCAAAGCAAAAAACTGGAAACACTGAAACATCCTGTTAACCTAAATATTAAGAAAGCAGATATTGGCCCTTAAATGAAAGCTTTGGTGTTCTGTTAGGCTTATCTATGTACTCACTCATATTTATGCAGAAATTTGATTTGTTTTTAATCAACTCTCCTCACTGAAATCCATGAGAGAGGACTATAGTGGGGCCAGAGGGGTCATATGGAGTAAAGTGAGGGTTAGGTTAGTCTTGGGAGATTGCTTATTGGACCCTTGAGAAAAGCCTTCAGAATCTGCAGTAGATATAAAACAGCGCTGTTTGGATCCTGATGAGGGTGCGCTAACTTGACCATATCACCACCATACTCAATTCACTTCACTGTCTTCCTGTTCCACTCAGAACTGAGCATAAAGTCTCCCTCTTTACCCACCAGTGCATCCATGGTGAAGTCCCACCATACCTCAAGCAACTTCTCACTCCACAGACCTCAACACACACCCACCGATCTACCTCAACATATCTGCTGAAACCACCAAGGACAAAGAAAAGTGCAATGGGAGATCGGGCTTTCTGCTCAGCTGCTCCCAGACTGTGGAATGCTCTCCCAGACCACATGAGGACCCCACAGCCTGTGGATGCTTTTAAACATGGCCTTATAACCCACCTTTTAAGGAGAGCTTTTAGATCAACTCTTGCCGTTTTACTTATTGTCTGTTTATTTAATCTTTTTTTACTTGATTTACTATATAGCATTTTTGGGATTTGTATAAATATAAAGTGCATTGCAAATCCAATGTATTATTATTATTGTAGCTGTGGTCACATCTTTATCTGTCCTCTTTGGTTCTTCCCTTACCTCAATAGGTTGCAGAACCTCTTCCAGAAGACCGACCTATCAAATGTTGTGGACTTTATTCATTCCTGTACATGGCAGAGGATTCTAATGTTTTCTGCAATAAATTAAACACATAGGAAATTAGGAAATGTGCTCCAGAATTAAGAAAAGGTTAGCTGACCCTTTAAGTAAAACTGGACCAAAGTAAGATCTAAATGATCACCTTAAAACATTTAAAAGCCTTTTACATTAAAACTTCAAGTTCAAATGAGCTGTTAAACTGGTTCTAATGGTAATTGGCCTTTACGCATAGAGCGCTTTACAGAGTCCAAAACTCTCAAAGCCCTTCACTCTACATTCAGTCATTCATGGACACACTGATAGTGGTAAGCTGCACCCCACAGCCCTGGGGAACACTGACAGAAGCAGGGCTGACATTCAGTCTGTGCCATCAGGGGCCTTTCCTGGTTTTGGGTACATTGGGGGCTGAATCTCAGGGAATTTAACTTGGAAGGGCTTTTTATTGAAGCTTTCCTGAACATTCTGGCACCTTGTGTGAAGCAAAATACTGCAATATGTACAGTCCATTTTATATAAAAATCTAGAGACATCATTTGATGCAAGCCCTTAACATCAGATCGACATCAGAGAAACTACATCCCAGAAAGTAGGAGTGGACTCATTTTAGAGAACAGGTGGTTTGATTAATGTTGATGAGTTATTTGGATTAAGGCGAAAACGTTTGCATATGAAAGGATTTGCCTCTTTCATATCCGTTTATTATTTAATGCCAATTTACGAATAATGTAATCACAAGACACATTGCAAAAGAAAACAGATGTGATATTGTTTTATATAAAACATCCATCCAACCTCCAAAACTAGATAAAATCCACTTTGATTCTAGTCATCATACACTGCATTCAGTTTTAGTATATTCTTGTGATTTAGAAAAAGAGCTGATTGCAGCAGCCTATCCTCTTGAAGGAGCATGCAAAATACTGCAGGCATTTGCTTGCATTAGACTTAGAATTAGACAATGTTCATTGTCATTTTGCGTGCACAGAGTGCATGCACAGAGTGTATGCAAAATGACAAAAAGGCAGTGGCTATGCATCAATCTCTCATACTGACCAAGTACGTGATGACAGTGGAAAATAACAATTCCCCTTTAAGAAGAGAACTGCAGCAGGACCCTCTTTGAGTGGCCATTTTGGAGGACAAACAACAATAGACTCCAAAAAAAAAAGTAAAGCCCAACTTTTTCAAGTCTTAATAAATATGCTGACATAAGAGGCTTTAGGATCCTGTTCTATGGAGCACTGAATCAAAATGAAAATCATGAGAGAACTCTCTATTCCAGGGTCTCTTCAATATTTTCCAGGCAAAGGACCCCTAAACTGATGGCGAGATGGAGCAGGGACCCCCTAGTTATATATATTGTATGAAATTGTGCTATATCAAACTGGTCCTATAGTCACTCTATTACAGATGGAGTAATGTAATGAAAGTAATTTCTCCCTGGGATTATTAAAGTATTTCTGATTCTGATTCCTCGTTGATGGGTCAGGTGTTGTGAATAAAACGGTGCCCATCTTGAAAGAGCTCCTGTGTGTCGCTGAATGTGTGCATTGATAAATGAGAGACATCTGCCTCCATTTATCTGTTTACTTCAGTGTGTTGAATTCATGTGTATTTAAAGAC